TAAGTAACATGGAGTTCGTTTCGGCCCAGGTGTCCAATGAGTCAAGGTCAGTCTGAAGTTTAGTTGGGGTTGACACAGTTCTAACTTCTCCCAGGTTCATGTCATCGACATACTTCCAGTGTGGGTTATTAGTATTAGGTTTTGCGTCATTGATCATGGCGAGGAACACCAGTGGGCCCAGTAGAGTACCTTGGGCCACTCCACACGTTAGTGTTTCCCAGCTCGATATAGAGTCCTGATACCTAACACGCTGCCTTCTGTTTGACACAAAACTACAGAGCCAGGGGATCAGTGAGGGTCTTGTGCCCATGGATATAAGTTTGTTAATGGCAGTGGTGTGACAGACTCTGTCGAATGCTTTCGAAAAGTCAGTTAGTATTAATGTGCCAACAGTGCTTTTCCTCTCAGCTCCCTCATAGAAGAAATTTAGGAGGTCTATAAGACAATGAGTCGTTGAGCAACGCTTCATGTTACCAAACTGCTTTATGTCTACGTTTGGGAGGATGTCCGAAAAAATCCATGTGCTGATAAAACCCTCACAGATCTTGGCAAACTGTGCGGTCAGTGAGATTGGCCGGATCTTGTTCAAGTCCGCTGGGTATTCCTTAGGCACTGGGATTACTGTGGCATCACGCCACACTTCAGGGACCCTGCCCTCTCTCAATGAAGTGTTTAGTATATCAGTTAGGGGGGTGGAGAGTTCGTATGCGAACTCTTTGATTAATTTGGGTGGGATAAGGTCAGGGCCAGGGGCCTTGGATACTTTAACACGTTGTAGTCGTTGATACATGTCCCATGGGTTGATTTGGGGTGGGGGTAGGGCTGGTAAGTATGCAGGGAGTCTAGAGTAGTCAAGTGGGGGAAGGGCTTGACAAATGGCTGCTAAGTGACTGTTTATTGCTTGAGCTGCTCCTGATGTATTAGTCGGTTCGAATCCAGGTACATGGATTATTGAACTCGGTCTGGACCAGTTTGCCAAATGTCTGATCGTTTTGTGCCACTGTGCTGGTTTGGTTTTCTTAAGATGTTCTATGTGGTCAGCATAGTAGTTTTTCTTAGAGGTAGAAATAAGACGG